TCTAAAAGCAGATGCCTGAAGGCAGACTTGGATATAATCCTTTTTTAAAAATGTTCCTAGGTCCTAAAATGTCAGCAGGAGCTGCCAYGTGGGAAAGCATTTTGAAAAAATTATCTAATTAGAAATGTAAATAAAAATAGGTGGCCAAATAGTTTATCATCTTCTCAGGATAAAAAAAAAATCCATTTCCAGAATTATACAAACAGAAGTGAAATTTGGCTACAGAYTGATAAATATCAAGATCCCCACCTGACTGACAAAGTGCCTTCTTGTCAYGGTGAAGCTCGTTAGTGTTCAGGATGATTTTGAGTGTGTTTGGCTGATTCAAGGGATGTAGGTTGATTTCCCTGCAATACACACTGAGCATGTGATCAATTTACATGTAAGATTTCTGGTGCCACAGATGTCGTTCTTAATTAAAGAAAATTCTGCAAAAAAAAATAAAGGCCTTCAGAGCATTGCTGGGATGAGAAAKATAAAGAGAATCCCATCACTCACTCTTGAAATACGCAGCTCTTCCAGAATAAAGCATGGCAGCAATTTTAATCAGCACACAGATCAGCTTTTYAGAATTAGCAATAAAATAAAATGTCAAACTATAATACCACAGGGAACTTAGGAAGACAAAATGTAACTCATTATCACAATTACTTCAGCAGAATTAAAACTATTAAATGCTGATCCAAAATATGAATTATGAGAACAGGAAAGGAGAAATATTAGGGAATAATATCACCTTTGTGATAGAAACACATAATAAGTAAGATAAATACATGTTTTAAGAATCCCACAGCTGCATGCACTCAGCACTTTCCCATCAATAAATCACCCAAGGACAGTAAATCCAAACTGGTTCAATGGGATGGACTTAATGACTGTTTCTAAATTCTAATAAAAAAGGCTTGGATTTCCAGTTACATATTTTSTTCTCTGAAGGGCCTGAGTGTTTTTATATCTTTGTGATCATCACAACCAGACACACACACTATTTACTTAAGGATATATTTTTCCCATGACCTTACAGACTCATTGCTCTGTCATGGAGAGGTCATGGAAGGAAGTTTGTTAGAAGTTAAATATGAGGAAGTGCAATAAAGCCTATTTATCTTATACGAGGAAAAAAGTAGTCCATCAACACAGAATTATTACATTAAAAAGTGGAAAAAAAAAAAGCTTTTGAGCCTCTCTGCAGCCTCATAAAAATAGCCTGTGATTGTGCATGGGCAGATGTCCTCTCTCCTGTGCAGTGTCTGATCAGAGGCCTTTTGGACTTCAGTGAAACAATAATAACAAAAAAGCAAAGGGAGTGCAATTTCCATGGAAACTTGGAAAGAGATGTAACATTGTTTGCCGTAAGYGTCGGACTGCGAATGGAAAATTTTCCAGTTTACACAGATCTCAGCTATTATTTTCTTTGCAGTGCAAACTTGGGCCAAATATTTTCTGTCATATTAAAGATGCAAATAGTCAGTTTTACTTTCCGTCCAGAACAACTGTGCACAAAAGCTTCAGAATCTGCAGTAAAACGTCTGATATTTATCTTTCCATGAACCCAAAATACACAGTAGAAAAAAAGAGTAATTTGGGCTTCCTTCTATCTGCTTGTCTTCAGAAAGTGAAAACAGCTCAGAAATCGTCTCCTGTTTATGTGCAATGTTTCAGACTAATAGACAGCCAGAGCACTGGCAGATGTGTCCAGGGTTAATGGGAGCTTAACTTAAAAGAAAACCCATGGTTGAAGCAYACAAGATGATAAAAAATATACCAAAAGCATAAAGTTTATATTAACATTTATATAATTAATGAAGTGACTTTTATCTTACAACAGTTTCAGAACTCACTCCCTTGCTAATCCTCCCTTACCCAGCAGCAGGAATAATTATGACAGTCCAGAAATTAACTTTGACCAATACAAGCCCAAGTTCTGAGCTGAGCTACTCCAAGTGTTAAGCCTTGTGTGGGAAAGGTAACAAAAGTGGATTGTGAAACTTTTCTCCCCTAAACAAAACAGCTGGTTGGTGTAGTGTTGGAGCTCTGATAATGACATGGCAGCTCAGGGGACACCTCTGCAGATCTGGTGCCTGACCTGTACTAGTCACAAGTTGGAAGAGTCCAGAGCTCAAGTCTAAACTAGTCTGGAACATGTCTGCATGCCCAGACATTCCTGCCCTTCCCACTCCTGGACATGTCCCACACAGCAAAGAACTTTTCTGCAGGAGATTTGTACAGACCTGAGATCTCTAGGGCTGAAATGTGGGGCCATATTTGTGCAGATTTGAGTTGTTTTTAAGTGAGGTAACAAAAACAATGACAGCATCAAACACAGCTCCTGAAGAGTCAGTGCAAAGTTGTGTGATAGAGACTGAACTCGTTCTGCTGGGAACCCTGAGTTGATTGTTTAAGGCACTGCTTAATAAGGATTTGGTCTTTAGCACAGATTTCATCATAGGCTGACTGACTGAAGCTTTCTCTTCACAAGTTCACACACAATCCCAACTGTCATGTTGATTTTATACCTGCCTGCCCAGTGAGATGACAGAGCAACTCAATCACCTGGCTTTGCAAATCTATTTCCCCTCTTACATCTTGACAATTCTACTCACTCACTTGTGGATCACACAAAGAAAGAGGAAGCAGCATGACTCAGCTCCACACTACAATGGCTGGAGCAGATCCAGACCTTGCAATCCTTTGGGCTTTCCTTACCAAAACACAAAGCTGCAGCTTGGCTAATGTAAAGCATGCAGTGTTTGTGTAAGCAATGGTAGATGGGCAGCAGGCCAGCAGCCCTCCCAGAGCAATGTGCTCCTTCTTTACATTGATGGCAAATTATCTTCTGAAGAGTTCAGCAGGGAACCAAAGAGCCAAAGGGCTCTGATCTTAAACGGTGCCTATAGAAGACAAAATGCTAAGCAGGAAGAGCCTCCTGAGCTGTATTCTGCAGGCATGAATTTACATTGAAATCTAGTGGTAAGTAATGTATTACTTTAACAAGTTTCACATAATGCCATACAGGCAAATATTTTTGTATAATCTGTAAATTATATAACTCTTAAGAGACAYAGAAAAACTACTGACCTTAAGGAACTCAAGAACTTTGAGTAAATTTCAAGAACCCTGAGTCTTACTGTTTTGTCTAAACCGCTGGAAAACAGTCTCTAAAAATTAGCTACTCCAAAAATTCAGTGTGGTCTAGAAATTAATCCTGATCCTCTACCAGTTTGCTAACACCTGGCCTACAGATGTTTTTCATAAAGAGCATMCACCTGGTGAGTTATGGCACAGTAAATAATACACTGTAAACACACTTAACTTTGCAGTGTAAACAAGCTAGGAGCAAAATTCATCAAGAACTTCACTTCATTTACTCCCTGAATGCACAACAAAGTTGAAGGATTTGATGGTTATCTCATAGCAATCTAACTCAGAGATAAAGACCTCAGATCTCAACCTGTTTCTTGGAACAATGAGGCACACTCCAGTCCAGCTGTGGGCAATGGATGGATCTGTCATTTCAGGCATTGCATTCAGTRGTGGAAATCACAGATCAGTCATTACTCACAGAAAAGAGTGCAATACTAAGAATGAAGGTAAGAAAGAGACACCATCCAAGATATTTCTCTGAAATGGCCCTCACTTTCCTACCACAGGACAGCAAAGCAAAGATTCACTTGCAGAAAGCAGCTCTCTAGGCTGTGTATGTGTGGTGACTGAGCAGTATCAGAATTTGCATCACACTAAGCAACCTCACATTGTGTTAGAGCATAAAAGGCCAAGTGGCTTCTGGGCTCTGTTAACTTCAAAAGATGGTTCATTGAGCAGAGTTCATGCTTAGCAAAGCTTAGCAGCTTTTTCCTTATTCCTCCCCAGAATATTCTGGGCATTGTCATATGCTTGTACTACAAAACTTGCAGTTTTCCAAAGCCAGTTCATGAGAAGAGAACGGAAACATSTCTTTTCATTCCAAAGGAAAAACAACTCCTATGCTGTTTTCCTCAGTAAGTTAAAAACTTGGAGAGAAACCTAAAGCTAAAAAAAGCAAAGAACTCAAAAAGATTCATATTCTGGACTGTGGTTTCTGTTGCCACAGCTCAAGGGAAAATATGTTCATGGGAAAAGGGCCTGCCTGGAGCCAGATTTTTTTTTCAACTCTGACTCTTCTAGCTGGAGTGGCTTTAAATCAATATGTTGCTATTATTTCTTCATAAACAGAAATCTTCTTTATGGGCTGTGTGATAGCTGTTTACAAGTGAAACAACCACTTGTATCGTGTTTCCTAGCAATCAGTATCTCATTCAGCTCCTATAGACAGTGATTGGGCAATTTGAGAAGTCTTTACAATGTTAGTTCCAAGTTTCACTGATTCAAAGTGTTAAATTATCTTCCCAGAAGAGAGTTCCTGCACAGAGAAGTGTTAGCCTTGTCACCTACCTCTGCAGCTACACACAGCTAAAGAAAAYAACACCACACCTTAGAAAAACAAATCTTGCATGGCTTTATTTTTAAGAATCTTACTCTSATGTTATTGTGGACTGTCTTTAGTACTGCAATTCACTTTTGTCTCCAGCCAGGACTAAATCAGATTATAAATATAATAGAATTCCACCCTAACTCTGCAAAGACCACCTACAGACAAACYTGCCCCAGGCAATTCAGAGAATTTGTAACAGTCTGTCTAACACTGCAAAAAGTTGTTAAACAACAAAATGTGATCATGCTGTCCAATCAYGCCCTGCCAGACCCCATCAAATGTGGTTATCATTATTCTAAATGCTGTATGAACAGAGCTTCACCTAGGACTTAATGCCCATTATACACTTGAATTGTCTTTTGCATTAATTAGATTTATGTGAAAAATTAACAAAAATATCTAACATTGGCTTTCTTGAGGTTCCTCAAGGCTTTTTGGAATGACACAGTGAGCTTTACTGAACAATAAAGTAAACTTTACTCCCATTTACAACTGCAGAGAAATTCTGCTGGAACTGAAAACCAGTTACCTGTGATCAATGACTGTGACATCAGAAGCAGGAATCCCCAGGACACAACAACTCTGTTCCAGCTCCTTCTTACGAAYCTCTCCTTGATTGTAATAATTTCCTGAAAACAGCAAACACAGCAACACCACCTAACTTAGTTTAGGTTCAGATCAAGGGGTCTAAACAGTACAGTTTCCTCTTCCTCATTCCATTCACATAAGAAATTSAGGCAGAACTAATGTGGCAAGATTGCAAAGAACTTGCAGAAYAAAAAGATAGAAAACCTAATCAAGATAAGGCAATTGGGGAAAGTTGTAACAGAGATCAACAACTAGCAGGGAAATGGGATTCATTATCTTTAAACATTGCCTCTTTTCCTCTGATTTATTTTCTTCTCATCTTGCCCTGACATTCCCTTATTTTTTCTTGGCATCAGCTATACAAARTCCCTGCCAAAGCTGTGATGCCCCTTCCAGAATGTTGCTCTATGCAGGGCAGTACTTGCAACTCAATTTTAACTTTGAAGCAATAAAATGAAAAAAATACAGTTGAGTATTAATGTGTGATTCAAGTCTGCAGTCAGCTGTCTTGAATTACACTAGAACTTTTTATTGTTGTGGGTGTGAGTCATCTAAATCTAGCATTTCTCTCGAGCAGTGTTGCAATCTGAGCCATCACTAGCAAGCTTTGTAAAATTTTCAAAGAGGGTAAGAGTAGAAAAAGAAAAAAAGCCTCTTCCCACAGCCTGTGAGTGAATGACTTTGGGAGACTGACTGTGGGATGAACCTTGGATTGCAAGTTCCAGCTCCACCAGAATTTACTGAAGTGTGCACCTTCTCTAGAATGACTGAATGAGTACAAGAGAGCTCATTTCAGACTGATTTTTAGCAGGCCATTAACAACACAGTGTTGTACGGTAACAGCTTTTGCTGCAATGCAGTGTCATTGCCGACTGCAGGTGATGCTTTATCCAAACAGTACCACTGCTCTCAAAAATCACTGACTTCTACTGAACTCAAAGGAACAGTTCCACAGCTTGAGAGATGTGTCAGGACATCAGGAATATGTAAATGCTTACARGAAAAAACGGGCAGCTGCTGAGAGCAAAGCCAGCCAAATAGCTGAAGCTGCTGGACCTCATCCATGGAGCACTCACAATAGGATCAGCTACTACAGAGGGCAAAGCACATTTAGACTGAGTTATTAATTCAATCTAAGATTATTCAGTGTGTCAAAGACTGATTTTTTTATCACAGTGCTGTAATTCCAACTCATTTCTCAGTCAAATTGATTGATAACTGAAAACTGCAAGTACAATGGTTTTTAAGTAATGATTTTGTCTCAGCGTTAACAATTTGCAGTGTCTTTGATCAACTCACTTGTCATCATCAATCACTCAAACAATGAGAGGATGAACCATCTGAATCACCCACAAGACTAATGAAAGGCTTTTAAAATTAAAATCTATTAGCTCTCCCCTACATGAGCTGCTCATTCCCTTATAAGTGAGAATACCTAGAAGGAAACGTCAAACACACTTTGTGTGTCATGTCACTGAATCAGGAGTAAAAAAAAAAAAA